ATTCTGGGGGGTCCTGGGGATTTTGGGGGGGTCCTTGAGGATTTTGAGGGGAATTTCAGGGGGTCCTTAAGGATTTTGGGGAATCCTTGAGGATTTGGGGGGAATTTTAGGGGGTCGTTGAGGATTTTGAGGGGATTTTGTGGGGTCCTTAAGTTTTTTTGGGGGGGTTTTGAGTGGCCCTTGGGGATTTTGGGGAGTCCTCGAAGCTTTTGGGGGAGTTTTGGGGGTCCTTGAGGCTTTTCTGGGGATTTTAAAGGACCCTTGAGGATTTTGGGGAGGTTTTGGGGGCTCCTTGAGGATTTTGGGGGGGGATTTTGAGGGATCTTTGGCAATCCCGAGCCTTTGGGGGGTCCTGAAGTTTTTTTGGGGCATCCTGGGGATGTTCTTTGAGGATTTTTGGGGGATCCCTGAGACTTTGAGGGGGGGATCCCTGAGATTTTTGGGGTCTGAGAAGGATCTCGGGATTTTTGGGGTGATCCTCAACCTTTTGGGGGTGGTCCCCGAATATTTCTGGGGGTCCTGGAGTTTTTTTTTTGAGGACCTCTTGAGATTTTGGGGAGGTCTGGGAAGAGTTCTGGAGTTTTTGGGACGGATCCTTGAGATTTTGGGGTCCCCAGGGATTGGAGGATTCCCAAAAATTGGGAATTCCCAGGAATTGAATTTGCCAAAAATCGGGAATTTCCAGGAATTGCGGGGGAGATCGCCAAAAATTGGGAATTCCCAAGGATCTGGGTTTTTCCAGGACTCCATGGGGGTTTCTCAGGGATTGGGAAACCCCCCAAAAATTTGGTGTTTTTCAGGGATTGAGGAGATTCTTGGGGATTTCTTAGGAATCGGAGGGGTCTCCAAAAATTTGGGTTCTTTGGGAATGGGGGGAGATTCCCAAAAATCAGCGAGGATTTCCCTGGCATCAGGGAATCCGGGGGGGGGTGTTCCCAAAAATCTGGGATGGTTTTCCAGGGATTTTGGGGGTCCCCAAAATTGGGGGTCCCCGGGTTCTGACCCCACACTCCCCCCCAGCTCCAGCCCCGCTGTCCCTGGCACCTGGCACAGGTGAGTGCGGCCGGATCCCGCGGAATTTGGGGAGTTTGGGGGGGGGGTTGGGGTTTCTCCAGGATTCCCTGGAATTGGGAAATTCCTGGGAATGCTGCTGGGGATCTGGGAATGCTCCTGAGGCAGCTGGGGATCCGTCCTGAGGGATTTGGGGATCCATCCCTGAGGGATTTGGGGATCCATCCCTGAGGATTTGGGGATCCATCCCTGAGGATTTAGGGAACCCATCCCGAGGGATTTGGGGAATCCATCCCTGAGGATTTGGGGATCCATCCCTGAGGGATTTGGGGGATCCATCCTGAGGGATTTGGGGATCCATCCCTGAGGGATTTGGGGATCCATCCCTGAGGGATTTGGGAGATCCATCCTGAGGGATTTGGGGATCCATCCCTGAGGATTTGGGGGATCCATCCCTGAGGATTTGGGGATCCATCCCTGAGGATTTAGGGAACCCATCCCTGAGGATTTGGGGAACCCATCCCGAGGGATTTGGGGAACCCATCCCGAAGGATTTGGGGATCCATCCCTGAGGGATTTGGGGGATCCATCCTGAGGGATTTGGGGATCCATCCCTGAGGGATTTGGGGATCCATCCCGAAGGATTTGGGGGATCCATCCCTGAGGATTTGGGGATCCATCCCTGAGGATTTAGGGAACCCATCCCGAGGGATTTGGGGCATCAATCTTGAGGGATTTTGGGGATCCATCCCTGAGGGATTTGGGGATCTATCCTGAGGTATTTGGGGGATCCATCCCTGAGGGATTTGGGGATCCATCCTGAGGCATTTGGGGGATCCATTCCAAAGAATTTAGGGGATCCATCCTGGTGGATTTGTGGTTCTGTCCCTGAGGATTTGGGGTTTCCATCCCAAGGAATTTGGGGGATCCACCCCAGAGTCCTGCCATGCCGGAATGTTGGATTTGTGGATTTTTGGGAGCACCCAGAATTTGGGAGTGGCTGGAACCAATCCCGAGAGGAATTTGGGCTGAGGGATGGACAGGACCATGCCTGGGAATCACCCAGGGATCGCCACCCTGTTTATCCCAGTTTATCCCAGTTTATCCCAGTTTGGAGGGGCAGCAGGGAGGCTGGGCCAGGCGGATCCCGACTCCAGAGGCTCTGGAATGCCCCGGGATATTTTTGGGAGCTGCAGCGTCAGGCCGGGAATGCTGAGCCTGCCCAGATGTGCAGCCAGGCAGCTGCGGAATCCCGGGATTTTGGTTTGATTCCCAGCGAGTTTCCCACCTCACTCTGGATCAGGAGTGGATTCCCTGGAATTGTGCAGAGTTACAGTGGTATTCCATGGAATTCCAGCAGAATTCCAGGGCTCTCCTGCTGCCCATTCCTGTGGAAATGGGGTTTTTTTGGGAAGCTGGAGGACAGCGGGTGGCTGGCGCTGGTCTCTTGGAGAGATTCCAAAGGGAATTTTTTTTTTTGTGGGAATGTGTTTAGGGATGGATCTTTGGGATCACAGATCCCTCGGGATCAGCTTTTCCTGGGATGCTGAGCCAGGGCTGGGTGTCCTGCAGCATTTCCAGGTGGTTTTTCCATGGGAATTGGGGATTTTGGGAACAAACTCCACTCTCTGGGGCTCTGTGGCAGGTGGAGAAATGGGAATTTTGTGTTGGAATGTTTAAAGATGGATCTTTGGGACCACAAATCCCTCAGGATCAGCTTTTCCCGGGATGCTGAGCCAGGGCCGGGTGTCCTGCAGCATTCCCAGGTGGTTTTTCCATGGAAAATGGGGATTTTGGGAGCGCCCGCGGTGCCGGGGTGGGTTGGGGACACGGGGACATCCCATGGTGGCTGTGGCAGGGCCACTCCAGTCCCCTGTGCCACTGTCCCCTTTGTGTCCATGTCCCTGTGTCCCCCTGTCCCTGTGTCCCCTTGTCCCCTTTGTCCCCATGTCCCTGTCCCCCTGTCCCCATGTCCCTGTCCCTGTCCCCATGTCCCTGTCCCCATGTCCCTGTCCCCATGTCCCCCTGTCCCCATGTCCCCCTGTCCCCATGTCCCTGTCCCTGTCCCCATGTCCCTGTCCCCATGTCCCCCTGTCCCCATGTCCCTGTCCCCATGTCCCCCTGTCCCCATGTCCCTGTCCCCATGTCCCTGTCCCGGTGTCCCCTCAGGGATCCCCGTGGGAAGCGGCGATGTCAGACAAAGGCGGCAGCATGGACGGCAGGACGGACATCGTCAACGGTGAGGGGACAGCTGGGGACACCCAGAGGGACAGGAGGGGGGACAGGGGGCCAGGGAGAGGGACATGGGGACATTCAGGGGGACAGGGGACAGTCAGGGGACAGGGGGATACTCGAGGACACTCAGGGGTCAGCCGGGGGACAGGGAGGCACGTGGGGACAGCCGGGGGTGACACTCAGGGGACAGCCAGGGGGACATGGAGGGGGACAGGCAAGGGACAGGGAGAGAGGCAAGGGACAAACAGGGACAGTGACAGGGTGGCAGGGTCATAGCAAGCACAATGGGAGGGGACAGTGACGGTGACAGGGTGGCAGGGAGTGGGACAGCATTGGGGACAGGATGGCAGCAAGGGTGGCAGTGAGGGTGGTAGGGTGACAGCGGGGGGGACAAGGTAACGGTGACAGTGAGGGTGGCAGCAGAGGTGACAGCGAGGGTGCCAGGGCAGCAGTGGAGGTGACAAAGTGATGGTGCTGGTGACAGCGATGGTGCCAGCCAGTGCCACCACTCTGTCCCTGTGGTGGTGGCAGTGTCACCAGTCCCTGTCCCCAGGCAGCCTGTGGAGCTGTCCCCACAGCAGTGTGACACTGGTGACACTGTGATGTCCCTGTCCCCAGGCAGCCTGTGGAGCTGTCCCCACAGCAGTGTGACACTGGTGACACTGTGATGTCCCTGTCCCCAGGCAGCCTGTGGAGCTGTCCCCACAGCAGTGTGACACTGGTGACACTGTGATGTCCCTGTCCCCAGGCAGCCTGTGGAGCTGTCCCCACAGCAGTGTGACACTGGTGACACTGTGATGTCCCTGTCCCCAGGCAGCCTGTGGAGCTGTCCCCACAGCAGTGTGACACTGGTGACACTGTGATGTCCCTGTCCCCAGGCAGCCTGTGGAGCTGTCCATGTGGCAGTGTGACACTGGTGACACCACAATGTCCCTGTCCCCAGGCAGCCTGTCCAGCAGCCCCGAGGACATGTCTGCCGAGGAGGGCCGCGAGACGTCCTCGGGGATCGAGGTGGAGGCGTCCGACCTGAGCCTGAGCCTGACGGGCGACGACGCCGGGGCCGCGCGCAGCCGCGCCAGCGACAGCGACAGCTCCGGCGACAAGGACAGCGACAGCCTGGACGACACCGGCCACTACTCCATCCCCGAGGAGCCGCGGCAGGACGAGGACGAAGACGAGGATGAGGACGAGGAGGAGGAACCGCGGGCCCGGCGCAGGGGGCCCCGCAAGCGGCCGCCTCACGAGCGCGACTCGTCGGACGAGGAGCAGGCGCTGGAGGACTGGGTGGCCTCGGAGACGTGGGCGCTGCCTCGGCCGCGTTGGAGAGCGATCCCGGCGCTGCGGCAGCGCCAGTTGGGCGGCTGCTCCCGTTTCGTGGCTCAGGCCTGCGGGGCCCGGCTGTTCGTGCAGAAATTCCGGCTGCAGCACGGCCTGGAAGGGCACACGGGCTGCGTGAACACGCTGCATTTCAACCAGCGCGGAACCCGCCTGGCCAGCGGCAGCGACGACCTCAAGGTGCTGGTGTGGGACTGGCTGAGGCGCCGGCCCGTGCTGCAGTTCGACAGCGGGCACAAGAGCAACGTCTTCCAGGTGAGGGAAAAAGCGGGAACGGGGTGGGAATGGCGGGTTGGAATTGCAAAGGGGCGGCCTTGCCTTGTGGGTGACTGGAGAAATGGGAGTTGTGAGGGGAAAAATGGGAGTTGTGAGGGGAAAATGGGAGTTGTGAGGGGAAAAATGGGAGTTGTGAGGGGAAAAATGGGAGTTGTGAGGGGAAAAAGGGGATTTCTGGGGGGAAAGTGGGAATGCTGGGGGGGAAATGGGAGTTCTGAGGAAA